CTTTCTACTCCCGTAAGGATTTACACCCTCGGAAACCCTGTACAGGGTCGCTATGGGTCGGAACCGACTCGAAGGCACTTAACAACAACAACAACATGAAAAGGAATAGCTTACCAGAATTCCAGAACAGAAAGAGACAATAATAATCACAGAGAAAATTGTCAAAAGTTTGTTGGAAGAAAAGTTTCATAGCATCACGAAAGATGAGAAGATGAACATACAAGAAGCTGAACAAACCCCAAACAGGATAGATCCCAAATGAAAATTACCAAGTCATTTTATAATCAAACTTTCCAAAACCAAAGACAAGGAAAGAATCCAGAGAGCAACTCGGAAAACACGAAAACTTACTTACAAAGAAGATCCAATAAGACTAAGCTCTGATTTTTCAGAAACCATGCAGACTAGAAGACATGTGGATGACAGATACAAAACTCTGAAAGAAAAAATTTTCCAAAAAAATCATATATCCAGCAAAGATGCCATCAAACACGATGGTCAAATTTGGGTGCTTCCAAATAAACAGAAATGAAATGAACTTATAATAACCAGGCCAACTTTTAAATAAAATACTAAAGGGTATGCTTTGGACTGAGAACCAACAACAGCAGAAAACAACCTGATATTAACACACATGACAACAACACCCAAAATTCAATCCAAATATAGACGTTAAACAAACCAACTAGACTGAAAATCGGGAGCCAGAGACATCAATTTATAATGAAGTCCACTACAATGCAAAAGGAAGGAGTAATGTAGATACAGAACTACCAAATGGTGGGGAAGTAAGGTCAATTTCAAGATAATGAAAAGGCTGTCTTAAATGTGGGGAAAAAATAATGAATTACAGGGTAACATCAAAGAAAATTAGTGCATCTTCACATAAAAATAAACAAGTGGAAAATCAGAAATATTTAGCAAATATTAACACAACAGAATTGAAAATTAAAAGAAAGCCCACAAATCAAATGAACTCAATGCAGAAAATTATGTGGAACAAAGAAACCAGCAGCACCACAAAAAAGCACACAGCAAAACGACAGCAATTATCAGTGTTTTGATAATTACACTGAATGTAAATGGATTAAATGCATTAGTCAACCTACCGAGAGTAGCAGAGTGGATAATAAAACAGGTTCCTTCAATATGTTGTCTACAAGAGACACACCTTACAAATAAAAGACAGAAATAGATGAAAAGTCAAATGATGAGAAAAAATTATCAAGCATAAGTGGCAAT